CTTACTTCGGTTGTGGGTAAAGAGTTGGAAAGGATTATAAGAGATAGGATTTATAATCATCTAGAAAGGAATAATTTGATTAGGGATAGTCAACACGGTTTTGTGAAGGGTAGGTCGTGCCTCACAAACCTTATTGAGTTCTTCGAGAAGGTGACCAAACAGGTGGATGAGGGTAAAGCGGTTGATGTGGTGTATATGGATTTCAGTAAAGCGTTTGATAAGGTTCCCCATGGTAGGCTATTGCAGAAAATACGGAGGCATGGGATTGAGGGTGATTTAGCGGTTTGGATCAGAAATTGGCTAGCTGTAAGAAGACAGAGGGTGGTGGTTGATGGGAAATGTTCATCCTGGAGTTCAGTTACTAGTGGTGTACCTCAAGGATCTGTTTTGGGGCCACTGCTGTTTGTCATTTTTATAAATGACCTGGATGAGGGCATAGAAGGATGGGTTAGTAAATTTGCGGATGACACCAAAGTCGGTGGAGTTGTGGATAGTGCGGAAGGATGTTGCAGGTTACAGAGGGACATAGATAAGCTGCAGAGCTGGGCTGAGAGATGGCAAATGGAGTTTAATGTGGAAAAGTGTGAGGTGATTCACTTTGGAAGGGGTAACAGGAATACAGAGTACTGGGCTAATGGTAAGATTCTTGGTAGTGTGGATGAGCAGAGAGATCTCAGTGTCCATGTGCATAGATCCCTGAAAGTTGCCAGCCAGGTTGATAGGGTTGTTAAAAAGGCACACGGTGTGTTAGGTTTTATTGGTAGAGGGATTGAGTTTCGGAGCCATGAGGTCATGTTGCAGCTGTACAAAACTCTGGTGCGGCCGCACTTGGAGTATTGCGTACAGTTCTGGTCACCGCATTATAGGAAGGATGTGGAAGCATTGGAAAGGGTGCAGAGGAGATTTACCAGGATGTTGCCTGGTATGGAGGGAAGGTCTTATGAAGAAAGGCTGAGGGACTTGAGGCTATTTTCGTTAGAGAGAAGAAGGTTAAGAGGTGACTTGATAGAGACATACAAGATGATCAGAGGATTAGATAGGGTGGACAGTGGGAGCCTTTTTCCTCGGATGGTGGTGGCTAGCACGAGGGGACATAGCTTTAAATTGAGGGGTGATAGATATAGGACAGATGTCAGAGGTGGGTTCTTTACTCAGAGTAGTAAGGGCGTGGAATGCCCTGCCTGCAAAAGTAGTAGACTCGCCAACTTTAAGGGCATTTAAATGGCCATTGGATAAACATATGGATGATACTGGAATAGTTTAGGTTAGATGGGCTTCAGATTGGTTTCACAGGTCGGCGCAACATTGAGCGCCGAAGGGCCTGTACTGCGCTGTTATGTTCTATGTTCTAAAATGTGGCTCGATTTATTATTTTATAGCACAGAAAGACTTATTTATGTAACTTAAGTAAAGCAGTCATTCTGTGACCTGTTTAATTCTTGAATTTTTGTGTTGAGATTTTTCACCAATAACAATACCTATCAGACATAATACAACACTTTAATGAAACTTGTGCTTTGCAGATGTTAGACCAGCTTTGAGGGATAAATAAGGGTAATTACAAAGGTATGAGGGCTCACTGGGGTAAACTAGGAGCAAAGTTTAGTAGAAAAAATGGTTGAAGAACGATGGCAAATGTTTAAGAGAATAGTTAATGAATCGTAGCAAAGATATTTCCCATTAAGAAAGAAGGATTCTAGAAAGGAGATAAGCCAACCACCATTAACCAGGGAAGTTAAGGATAGAAAAAAAGTGAAAGTAAAACGTACAATGTGACAAATATTAGTGGTGGTAAAGAGAATCGAAAAAATTTCTTAAAAATTAACAAACAAAAATAGAGGGAGAACATAAACTTTGTGAGTAAACTTGCATGTAATATCAAGATGGACAGAAAGAGCTTCTTTAAACAAGTACAAAGGAAGAGAGAGGCCGAAGTGAACACAGATTCCTTGGAGAACAAAACTGGAGAAATAATAACAAGGAACCAGGAAATGGCAGAGTTGAATAAATACATGAATCTTCATGGTAGAAGACACTAATAGCATTCCATAAATACTGAATACTCAGGCAAAAGGACAAGAGGAAATAAATGCATTAACTATCTGTATAGGAGAAAAGGGCAAAGGAAAGTAATTGGCCTAAGACTGACACATGCCCTGGACCATATGGGATGCATCCTTGGATAGTAAAGTAAATAGCCATAGAGAATAAAGGAGAAGCAGTGGATGTAAGATATTTGAACTTCAAGAAGGTGTTTGATAAGGTTCCACTTGTTTGACTAATTAATAAAATAAGTGCCCATGGTTTTGGGGGGATTTATATTAGCATAGGTGCAGGATTAGTTAACTAATAGAAGGCAGAGTTCAAGATGGCAACCTGTAACTAGTGGTGCGCCATATGGATCAGTGCTGGGGTCACAATTAATTTACAGTATGTATTAATGAGGAAATTGAATTCAATCTGAATGAATATCTTGATATTCCGATGAGTGTGAGAGCAATGACATGCTATTTCAGTGTAATGGGAGAGAGATCACTGACACTTGTTATGTGATTACTATTCAACCTTTTTGCTTAGGTGGAGAGAATTATGTGACTTTGAATCTTCTTTCTTGACCAGTATCTGATTTTTTTTATTGTTTGCTCATGGGATTTGGTATTGTTGGTTGGGCCAGTATTTATTGCCCATCCCTTGTTGACCTTGAGAAGCTGATGGCAGGTTGCCTTCTTGAACCACTAAATTGAAATGGATTCTTTGCATTGTGCATCATTCTAAATGGAAGAAACTCCATCCCTGGGACAACAGGTGGATATTGCAGATTTTTCATTTCCTTATTGAGGAAATGGAAGTGAGGTGGAACAAAGGTGAGGTTGACCACCTGAAGATGTGGAACTTGTGTTACTCTTATCAGCACGTGGCAAAACAGAATGAAGCTGCTGATGATTTGTTAGAAAAGAACATTTTGAATCTTGCTATACTTTTTGATGACCGTGTAACTGACTATCCTAGTCACATCCCTGTTAAGGAGAGTCCGTGTTTTGGCGAAGATGATCAAGAGACAGATTTGCCTACTCGCTTCACTGAAGCCTTGAGTGACATCCAACAACAATAACTACAACTACAAAACCAACTACAACTACAAAACCAACCACAATCTGCTACAGAAGCTCCTTATCTTGGTAGTTCTTCAAAGAAGAAATATCCTCCATATTACCAGTAGAGCTTTTGTAGAGATAATAGCTGATGATATTGTTGAAGTCTTTATTTGTTGAACTCTATTATTGAGTCTTTAGGCAAGCCTGCAGATCAAAATACTATTAAGGTGCTTCCTGTAGATCCAGTCTTGATATAAATGTTCAAGTGAGTTTAATTTCCTTGAATATTCAAGTGTATTCTATTGTTGGTGATGGTGAAATATTACTTTCTGCTGCAGTTCCTGAGATGTCATTGCCTGTAGAGATGTAGCCTCAAGCTGAAGTGACTGTGGAAATTATGCCATGACCTACAGAAAGAGAAATTCTTATACTAGGAGAGGTTGGGAAAGAATCATTTCTTCATCTTCAAAATAGTCTTTAAAATGTTCTTCATTCTTCTTTTTGTTTAGCCAATCCCTTTCTGGATGAGGTTTTTGATGTACAGCTGTATAGTTCTTTTCAGAAGCTGATCAAGCCTCAGTTATTTACACAGGAGCAGTCAAGCACTTAACCTGTCGCCAAAGAACAAGCAAGAAGGAGGAGCAGAAGAGGAAAATGAGAATTTTAGCTTACTGCCTTTATACTTCAGGCATCATTAATATGTGGCCCAGGTGCCAGTTGTTGTGAGAAGCTGGTATCACATTCTGCCAAAGTGGTTGCTTTCCAAAGAGAAGACAAGGAGCATATACATTCCTCACTCCCTCAAAATGATGGTGAGCACTGTTAGAAATTGATATCTTTAACAAAGGAGACTTGGGTAGAGGAGTGCTACTAATGTGATGAAAATGTAAACAGTTGTGGGCAAAATGGATTTGGAGAAGGTGTAGTATATGTAATTGACAGTTATAAGCCAATAGAGTTGAGAAAGTTTTTTAAAAAATGAAGGGTTTTGACACTTTCTATGTTGAAAAGGGTTTGTCATGTAGTCCATCAAGGAATGAAGGCAAACAGCTTCATGTGTGCTTGAAGTCACCTGTTTACACAAGTCAAGTGATATTGGAGAAAAGCAAGCAAAGCTTTCAATGAGATAACTGATGGACTTTAGAGCCCTTAATTGCTTGAAAACCTGGTGTTGAAAAACTGTAGGGGCCTTTATATAATGATTGCTTAATAATTCTTTCCGGACTTAGTTGTCTGTTTCATAAACATTAGTCATCAGTAAGGAAGACACCAACATTCCATTCCAACATAAATTTGGTAATTTATTTTAGAAATCATGTTTCCTGTCTGGACTAATTCTTTGTTTATTTTGTCACGAAATTGTGTAGAATATTCATGAATTGAAAGGCAGGAAGTTAGAATTTGTTTGTAAAAATTATAGTGGGGAAAAGCAGAGCTGGTACCTTTAAAAGATTGCACCTTTTCTGTGCTTGGAAGTTTGCAAATAGTGTATGGACAGCCCCAAATTGAAACAAGTGTATCAAAAGACCTTACACCTGGCAGGCAAAACAGCAGTCATGTTTTGATGTTTCAGCAATGAGCTGGACTCAACCAACTAATTTAAACCAAGCACTCAGCAATTGCAAGCCAATTGAATTTAAAACTGATGGTTTTGACAACCTGAAATCAAATATATTCTCAGAAATCAGAGGGGTTCAACATTCCCTCCCTTTGTGACAATTTCTTTCAAATCAATCTGCAATTAAAGAAAACAATATTAAATACTTCAGCTCAGAAAAACTGTGCCTATTTTGAAAGCTGGCCATTTTCAATTCTAGAATAATTATTTCACAATACCAACTGCTGGTAATTCTTCATTTTAATGATGTAACATTCATATTTACTGACACTTTATTTCCAATTCCGGTTTAAATTCGCATTTGTATATATCCACCTCAGCAAGATTTTACTGCCCTTGTTCCTCAAGTCTCAGTAAGTGTTAAAATTTGTGCTAACAGAAATGACCTCAATAGATTTGGTTCAAAACAAGTTTTTGGTTGTTCCTGCATTATATGCTATTTATTTTTTTTCCTGAGTTTGTTAACACATAAAAGTCTGGATCAAATCTGGTATTGTGCTAATCGAGATCTGCTTTATTGCAGTAAGTCTCGGGCCTCGATTTCATTTTGGCTTTGAATTGTGGGATTGTATAACTGGAGAAGCTGATTTTGGATTCCTTCCACCAAAACTTTCATGAAGAAAAGATACTGTGAGTCAGAATCATCTGAACGTTCACCGAAAGTTAATTGGTTATTCTGAATGCTTCTGTAAATTTCATCTGGAAATAGTTTGTGTAGAATACTGTGAGAGTACTTTTAATGTGAAAAGTTAATATTGGGTCAGCTGTGGAAAAACAGGAAATCTGTGGGTGGGGGATTGAAACATTTTTCTTCAAGCTGATTCTAATGAGCTTTTAAGTTCTGTTGTATAACAGCAGAAGTCTACTGATTATGTGACAGTATTTAAGTCTATAAGCTGTAGAAATATATAGTAATTCAGTTCTGTCTACTGGGAATGTGCAAAATAGAGATTAATCATGTTTAATTAATAATTTCAAAGGTATTTATTCTTCTGTCTTTTCTTTAATCTCAGTGCTAAACTCAGACCATGTATAAATCTGCGCTAAATTTACAATTATTCAAACTATTACCAGAAAGGAGGATTACAGTTCTGGCTTGTTATTTGTGGTAGCTATGATTGCAAAACTGTCGGTGCTCGTCATTTTCACTCCACAGAGACTGACAGCGAGCTCCAGAATCTGCTTGTTGCAGTTAAATGTAGATAGAAGAAATTGTGGTTCTGCACTTTTTCACAAGGTGCACGGTTGATGTCGCGCAACTGGGGCTGTAGATTAGGGCTTTGAAGTAAATAGTGCAAGAATTGGGTGGGTTGGTTGGGGCGGCAGGGGAGTGGGGCAAGGTAATGTCATGGATAGAAGATTGGCTGATTGGCAGAAGGCAGAGAATGGGGATAAAGGGATCTCTTTCAGGGTGGCTGCCATTGACTACTGGAGTTCTGCAGGGATCCATATTGGGACCACAACTATTCATGTTATACATTAACAGTCTGGTGAAGGAACTGAGGGCATTCTGTCATCTGGAAACTTAGCAACAAAGATAGGTGAAGGGACAGGTAGTGTTGAGGAGACAGGGAGGCTGCAGAAATACCTGGACAGGCTAGGAGAGTGGACAAAAATGTGGCAAATGCAATACAATGTGAGAAAGTGTGAAGTTATGTACTTCAGTAGGAATAATAGAGGCATAGATTATTTTCTAAATGGGGAAAGGCTTAAGAAATCTGAAGCATAAAGGGACTTGAGTGACCTAAATCAGGATTTTCTTCAGGTTAATGCAGGTTCAGTTGGCAGTTAGGAATTCAAACGCAATGTTAGCATTCATTTTGAGTGGGGTAAAATGGAAGAGCAGAGATGTACTGCCGAGGTTGTATAAGGCTCTGTTCAGACCTAATTTGGAATATTGAGAGTGGTTTGGGGCTGCATATCTAAGGAAAGATGTGCTGATCTTGGAAGGTGTCCAAAGATGGTTGACAAGAATGATTACCGTAGAATCCCTACAGTGTGGAAGCAGGCCATTCAGCCCAGCAAAACCACACAGACCCTCTGAAGAGCATCCCACCAGACCCAGTCCCCCTACTCTATATCTGTAACCCTGCATTTCCTATGGCTAACCCATCCAGCCTGGATGCAATGGGCAATTTAACATGGCCAATCCACCTAACATGCATATCTTTGGACTGTGGGTAGAAACCAAAGAAAACCCACATAGACATGGGGAGAATGTGCAAACTCCACACAGTTGCTGGAGGCTGGAATTGAACCTGAGTCCCTGGTGCCATAAGGCTGAGCCACTAACTGCTGAGCCACTATGCCGCCCCCAATGATACCAGGAATGAAGGGCTTGTCATATGAGGAGCAGTTGAGGACTCTGGGTTTGTACTCGATGGAGTTTAGAAGGATGAGGAGGGATCTGATTGAGACTTACAGAATACTGAGGGGCCTGGATAGAATGGATGTGGAGAAGATGATTTCACTAGTACGAGACTAAGACCTGACAGCATAGCCTCAGTGAAAAGACGATGCTTCACAATTGAGACGGGGAGGAATTTCTTCAGCCAAAGAGTGGTGAATCTGTGGAACTTATTGCCACAGCCCTCTGTGGCAGTCAGGTCATTGTCTTAAATACACACAGAGACAGTCAGGTTCTTGATTAGTAAAGGGTGTAAGTTTACAGGGAGAAGGTAGGAGAACAGGATTGAAAAACACATCAGCCATGACTGAATGGCAGAGCAGACTTGATGGTCTGAATTGTCTAAGTCTGCTCCGAAATCTTCTGGTCTGAAATCAATTAAAGATCACTAAACTGATGGGTTGTGTCTTATTGTGCAGTCTTCCTTTAAATTAAATTACGCTATGACATGTGACGCTCTAGCATAAGAGGTCTCCATCTTACTCTCTGTGTATCTAGTCTGTTAGACAATTGGATAGTCAGCCAGTCAGTTAGTCAACTAGACAACTAGGAATATAGTGTAATAGTAGTATAAATAAGCACAAAACCCCGACTTTATATGCAAGTCTGAGTTATCATATTAGTGTACACAGTTAGGTATTAATAAACTTCCAGATATTGGTCTTGATTAGAAAACAAATGGCCTGAAAGCAAATAAAGGCATGCATGATGTTCCTTGATACTTCTTTCTTCGTGAATGCCACATTCAGGTTCTGCTCAGATACTTTGTTTAAATTGGCAAATATAAAAAGAAAAGGAGAAGAAAGCTGAAACCTCTAAATCAGCAACAAATCAGAAACAAAAATAGAAAAGCAAAAAAAAAAGCATTGTATCATTGCATTTCAAATCCTTTATATACTGGCAATGTTTAGCTGCACAGTGAGGATGGAAACTAAATATCTGAACATGGATTGGCATTCCAGTCACATTCTGTCAAGTTCAGCTAGTTAAAGGAAGAGTAAATCTTCACTTCATAGATCAACTGATAGATGATAAAGAAAGGCAGGCAGCCCAACTTTTTACCACTTTCGGAAATGATAGATTGAGAAGAATAAAGACAGCCACAAAGATGCTGACAGCATTTTATAACTTTTATAAGATCAGTTTTAGTTTGTGCCAACTTCAGGACTCCTCAGACTTGAGTTCATGGCAATCCATCAACAACCAGGTTAAATATTGACTAATTCATAGGCAGATATCAATAGGAAGGTACGGAATATGATTTCACCAAAGCTAACTTAGCTGAAAAGGTCATGAAACTAGTCATTGCCTCTGCACTTATCAAATCTTTCTGAAAGGTGCTTACAGACAAGCGAAAAATTATATCATTGATGAACATTAGAAGAAGGATGCAATCTTAAAGTACTTGTGGTCAGTTTGACACAGCACCATTAGCCGGAATATATTCTAACAATGAGGTTTTTGGAATCTACCAGGTTGTCCCTGTATCACTGACAACATTGAGTTCTCAGGAAAACTAGATATAAGCGTGATGTGAACCTTCATCAGCTCATGGCAGCAGGAGAACACGGTTTCATTTTTAACTGTATAATTTTCAAATTAACATGAGCCAAATCACCACCTTGGGGTATCTGTCTGCCCCTCCAAAAGTACTAGAAATGATCCTACCAAAGTAGAAGACATACAGAAGAAGCCTCGCCACACAATAAAGATGATTTACATGCATCTCAATTTCTTCAACATTTTGCCCCCTTATATTCTAAATTTTGCAACCAAGCTCCTCCTCTTTGAGATTTTCTTCACAAAAATACACCATAAATGTGGCAGGAAGATCACCATCATAATTTTCAATCTCAAAAATGCTTTATCATCTAACAAGTGTATTCTTCAATATTATGATCCCCCCAAGCTCACAGTGTTGGAAGTTGATGCATCCTAGAAAGGCCTTGGAGCATAACTATTACAGGATGATAAGCCTATTGTTTTTGGCTCTCAAGTCCTTATGACAGCTCAAGCAAACTACTCCAACATAGAAAGGGAAATTTTGCTCTGGTTTTCAGACTACAAATGTTCAATGTAGTGTTAGGACAGATCCTACCAAAATATGAGGTATACAGAAGATGCCTATTCCACAATACAAAGGTGACTTGCAAAAGAGGGCTTTAAACTAGTTTGGAGTGGGGGGGGAATGGTTTAGGAGGGGGACAATGTAGGCTTACAAAGCAAGTGGATATGGCAGTACTGCAGAGCAACAATTTTGATAATGATACCTACAGTGGGTGAGGAAGGGATAAGTGTATGTACAAGCATAAACAGCAAATACAGTCAAAAGGGGAAAAATGATAAAAAAGGGTAATAATGCCTCTTTACTTAAATAATATTCGGAACAAAATAAATCAATTAATGGTACAAATAGAGGTTAATCGGTTTGATCCTGTAGCCATTACTGAGACATGGTTGCAAGGAGATCAAAACTGGGAACTAAATATTCAGGGATATAACATTTCAAAAGGCCAGTGGGAAAGAAGGGGTTGTAAGGTAACATTGTTAGTGTTGAGGAGAAATGGCAAAGAGCAGTATCCAGTTTTATGCTCAGAAGTACAATTGATCCTTATTCGAGCTCTTTACCACATGTGGGAGAGGGCAAAGACCATTCTGAATCTGGCGTTCATGTGGGGCCCAGTCGCTCTCTTATTCACAGATCAGATTGGAAGAGATGTCAATGACACTCTGATTTCCCCAGTGGAATATAGCATTTTTATATGTTTCGTATTGCAATAATTACATGCAACATTGTCCCTTCCCCCTTAACTTAGAAACAAAGGAATGAGGCAGAGCTGGCTGGAGTGGACTGGGAAAGATGTTTTGTAGAAAAGATAGTTGAGGAACAATTCCAGATATTTAAGAAAATATTTCATGATTCACAGTAAAGATATATCCCAGTGTGGAAGAATTCTAGAAAGAGGATAAATGACTATGGATAACCAAGGAAATTAAGGATAGTATCAAATTGAAAGGGAAATATATAATGCAGTAAAGATTAATGGTAATAATAAGGATTAGAAAAGTTTTAGAAGGAAACAAAAGATGGTCAGATAACAATAAAAGAGGGCAAAAATAAACTGAGGGTAGACTTGCAAGTAATATAACAACAGACAGTAGGAGGATCCTTAAATATTTAAAAAGGAAGAGAGTCAAAATGAACATAGGCCCTCAGAGAGTG